GCCAAAGCCAGTCCACCACCACCACCACCACCGTGACGACCTCAGAGCCTCAGCCCCAGATGCGGACAGCCCTGGACCTGGGGCCCAGGAGCCCTGAGCAGAGCCCCGAGCCTGCCGGCTCTTCTTCCGGCCAAGCCTCCTGCTGAAATGATTCAGCAGAAGAAATGGAGACGATTTTATCAAGGAAATAACATTTTAAAAGATGGGTCATGTTCTGCTTTACCCCTGTCCCCAGAGGATGGGGACCTGCAGATGAAGCCTCCTTATACCTGGGAGTTTCTGCTTTTAGAATGCGAGACCCTTGAGAAAGGATTGCTTTGCTTCTCTATTTGTGGAGCATAAGAAAAATCACCTTGATGATATATAGCATAAGATGATGATATATAAGATTAAAAAAAAGACATCATCATCATCATCATCATCATCGGCAGTGCCAGGATTCACACCCCATACTGTGTATCACAGATGGCACAGTAAATGGAGTGCTGGGCCTGAAGTTGTGAAGACTTGAGTTCAAATTCAACCTCAGAAACTTACTAGTTGTGTGACCCTGGGCAAGTCACTTCACCCTGTTTGCCTCAGTTTCCTCAACTGTAAAATGAGCTGGAGAAGGAAATGGCAAACCACTCCTGTGTCTTTGCCAAGAAAACCCCAAATGGGGTCAGAAATGGTCAAAAATGAGTGAACAACAACAACTACATATCACCCTATCTCTGCAGAGTTCCCTTTTGGGGAACTAGGTCACACAGTGGACAGTCCTAGGCCTGGAGTCAGAAAAGCACTGAATTCAAATCTTATCTCAGTGCTTTGTAGCTGGGTGACTCTGGGTAAGGCACATAAGTGTCCATCTGCTTCAGTTTCCTCACCTGTAAAATGAGTATAATAATACCTTTCTCCCAGAGCTATTGTGAGGATCAAATGATGTTTGTCAAGTACTTTGCAAACCTTAAAGTACTACATAAATGCCAGCTACTATTATCATTGCATATGAAATCAAATCCAGACTCCTCAGTCTGGCATTCAAAGCTCTTCCCCCAGCTGCTTTCCTTTCGCTCTCCAAGCTCATCTCTTACTACTCACTAACATAGATCCTCCGCTCCAGGGAAGCCCCATTACCATCCTCCTCATACATTTTCCTCTCCTAGAATTTCCCTTCCCCTCCTCATCGTCAGTCCATTTTTCCATCAAGGCCCTGCTTCTTCTCCATGATGCCTCTCAGCCCTTGATGGGCCTATCCCTTATTTTGACACCACATTCACTAACATACACTTTGTTGAATATTACTTGTAATGGTGCAGTAACTGTTTCATGGGCATATAGCAGCTCATCTGCCCAGCCAGACTAGAAACTCCTTGTAGGCAGGGACACAGAAGTGACACAATAAATTGGCAAAAAGTGCCGAAATTCGAGTCAGGAGACCTGGATTCAAAGACTGCCATTGGCGCTTACTAGCTGGATGAGAATCTCTGGAAGCTTTGGTTTCCCCATCCATTACAATGGCAGAGGCCATGATGATTGGCTGGTGATGGAGACAATGATTGCATTTGTACAGGGCTTTCCACTTAACTTACTTGATCTTCACAATTACTATCCCCATTTTACACTTGGGGAACCTGAGGCCGCAAGAAGTTAAAGTGACATGTCTACAATGATGAAGTACCTGAGGCTGGATTCAAATTCAGGTCTTCCTGACTCAAATCCGGCTCTCTATCCACTGACCTGGCCAATTAGGCTCTATAGAGGCAACTCACAGATCTAAAGAACTAGGGTTCATTTTACCGGTAAATGTGGAGCCATGAGAGGTGGTTTGTTGGGAAGAAATGTCTTTGTACACCTTGAAGAGCTATTGAAAATGTTAGTACAAAGGATCATGAGATTTGGAGCTCCAACCCTCTCCTTGGGCAGATGAGGAAACTGAGGCCAAGATGAGGACAAAGTTACAAAGAGGTGAAGATCACATAGCAAAGCTTGGATTCAAACCCAAGTCCAGTGAATAACTAACTTAATCCTTCTTGCTCCTCACACACTTATTGGAAAATTTAGTCTACATTGGCCCGTCTTCCATCGCTAATATAACCAAATTCCATGGTGTGTGCTCCGGCCCTTATTGTACCATCTTCATTTCCATACCATCACCTTCTAGCCAAACTAAGCTCCTGGACCTTTCCTCGTTTCATTCTCCTCACTGGGAATTTTCTCTGTGCCTCAAATGCATTCCTTCTACATCATTAATATTTGAAATCCTTCTTTTCCTCCAGGACCCACTTCAGATGTCATATCTTCCCAGCTGAAAGTGATTTCTCCCTCCTCAAATTTTCTTGAGCCTTTCTCGTTTTGGATTCTGACATATCTACACCTTAAGGTAGTGTGGGACCTCCCTCAGATGTGAGTGGCTGGAGGCTGCACTCAGGTGCCAGTCACTCTTTGAGTCAATATCTATTCAAAGCCACAGTCCAAGAGCCCCCACCCATGATTTCTTTTTAATGCACCAAACCAGGTTACACATTAATCAAAGCAAAAAGCATTTCAATAGAACAGAAAAGCAAAGCAAATAATAAGGGAAATGTCCCGTACACACAGGTCTGTGACCGAGCCTTAAAAGACCTCTCTCATCGCCTCTGAAGCTGCCGCTTGCTGCTTTCTCCTACAGCCGCTGACAGCATGTCCTGGCGGCTTTATCAAATTCTGTGATATTATCTGCCAGTTTTCTACTGAGCTACGACCGCCATCTACTGCTTTTTCCCTGAACTGCAGAGGCAGGGGAGTGGCCTCAGCTTTCTAATGAAATAACCCAGTGCCTAAGAGAAGGGGCTTTTCTCCTGGTGGGAGACACAGACACCCCTTAGGGATTCATGGATAGATTTTAGGGGGTCCATGAACTTAGATGGGAAAATAACTACATGCTTTTTTTCACCATTTTATGCATTCACAAATAAGATTCTGAAAAGGGGTCCGTGGTAGGTTTCACCGAATTGCCAAGGGGGGTCCATGACATAAAAAAAGATGTAAATCCTCTGCCTCAGATCTATTTTAACCTTCCTGTGAGTGAGATCACCAAGTAGTGGACAGAGGCAGCTCAGCAAAATTTCCCTAAGATAAAATTTCTCTTTCTGAATGATTTTACTTTCCTCCTCAGGGGCAGCTTCCTCAGGCCCACCTGACATGTACGCCCTGGGGTAAGTGAATTCTTTCCAACTTCGGGCCCAGGTGATGCCCTGGAATTTTACTTAATAAGACTGGGAGGAGGGGATTGAAGAGGAGCTGGTAGAGATGGCCATCCAACAAAGCTGGAATCTCAGCTAAGCCAACCGTTGGGACTTACCCCACCCAATCCTTTCCACGGCTTTAGAGTTCTTAACAACTAGATCAGGTTCAACCCTCTCATTTTACAGAAGAGGAAACTAAGCCCCAGAACGGTTAAATGACAGCTAGGTGGCACAGGGCCTGGAATCAGGAAGACCTGAGTTCAAATCCAACCTCAGACACTCCTTAGCTGTGAGACCCTGGGCAAGTCACTTAACCTCCATCTGCCTCAGTTTCCTGATCTGTAAAATGAGAGTAATAATAGCACTTGCCTCCCCAAGTTGTTGTGAGGATCAAATGAGTTAATAAATATATACAAAGTGTTTTGCAAACCTTAAAGTGCTACAGAAATACTGATTATTATTGTTGGGATCATTCTGATCATCGGGGCTGTAGGTCACATTTACAGAGTCTGTAAAGTCCTACAACTTTACAAAAGAACCTATGATCATAGGTTCACATTATTATTCTATATTATGTTATGTGTTACGTATCAAATACCACATTATAAATGTTTATTGACTAACAAATTCTCTGTTCCTGATCTGTGAAATGAGAGGGCTGTCACAATCTGTAAGCCTCCTTTCAATTCTAGATATAAAAAGCACTGACTCTGGGGTCAGCTCTGTGATCCTATGCAAGGCTCTCTGGGCCTCAGTTTCCTCATCGGCAAAAGATGGGAGCTTGATGAGATCCGGCTCCAGATTTATGACTCTATATAAACTTGAAGGCACGATATAAAATCTCAGCTATAATTACTACTCCCTCACGACCTTGGCTAAGTCACTCACCCTCTCTAGCACTCAGTTTCTCCATCTGTAAAATGACCAGATGGCCTCTGAAATCCACCCTCCAAATCTATGATCTTAATTCACTCTAAGTTTCCTGGGACTTAGCTCTTTGATCTTTCAATTAGATGGCCTTCTTCCAACTCCGATCTGAAGTCAACTAGCCTTTCCGGGCTTCAGTTCCCCATCGGTAAAATGAGGCAGTTGGACTAACTGGCCTTGGACACTTCCTTCAGCTCTGTCTCTCTGACCCTGCCCCTTCCCTTCCCTAGGACTCAGCTCTGTCATCTGTAGGCTGAGTAAGAGGGTGTGACGCTGAGACCAGGGGAGCAAGCGATCGTTGTGGACACTGGTTTGCTTGATTATGCAGATTTGTTACGAGTTCTGTTTTTGTTTTTGTTTTTCAATAGTGAGGGACAGGAAGAAGAAAAATTGGAATTTTGGGTGGAAAAAATAAAGTTTAATTTAAATGATTATCAATCAAAAATAAAGTTAACGGCAAAAATAAAGTAAAACGAGTGAGCTCTACATCTGCGAGCTCTCAAGGCTCGTGGCTTGGCACAAAGTTTACAGCATCATTGGGGCGCCCTGGCTTCCGGCAGCAGAGCGCTCTCCATCCCCTACGCTTCTCCCCAGGCTCCGCCCCTCGCCTTCTGGGTCCGCCCCTGAGCCCTAGCCCTGCCCCTCACCTTAACCACGCCCCTGCGTTGTAGTCCCGCCCCTCACCCCTTGTCTCCCCTGTGGCCCCGCCCCTCCCGCCTTTCCTCTCCAGTGACGCTCCCTCCCTTCCCCATAGCGTCTCCCAAGTCTCGCGGGATCTCGAGCGGGGTCGGGGCCACGGCGGGATCGCGAGCCGCGATCATGGCGGCCGAGGAGGCGGATGTGGATATCGAGGGGGACCCGGGGGCGGCGGTTCCTCCTCCACGCGGGTGAGGCCGGGGCTGGGGCCCGAGCGGGCCGGCGGGGGGTCGGGGCCGGCTCGGGCAGAGCCTGCCCCGAGGCCCAGGCCGGGGTCACGGTCACGGTCACGGGGCGGGCGGCGCCCGGGGCCAGGGCCGGAGACGCGGCGCGTGGGCCGAGCGGGCCTCACCTTCTCCGTCAGTGAAATGGAAAGGTCGCGCTGGTGTGCTGGTCACGCATGACCCCGGGTCCGGCACCCTTCCCCATCGTACACGGGGGAAACTGAGGCCCAGGGAAGCGGGAAGGGGCCGGCCGGCAGCACTTTGTGTGCGTGGCCGCGCCGGAGCCTGACCACCCCCTGAGAGGCAGGGGCCCGTTTTACAGATGAGGAAACTGAGGCAGGCCCCTTCCGCCTTTGTACAGCCCCTCACGTGACCGTGGGGTCTCCCCTACCCACCCGGCCACACCGACCTTGACTTGGCTGGAGCATCGCCCGCGCCCCTCCCGGCTCCGTCTGCGGCCTCCCGGTGACGTCAGCGGCTCCCTTGTTGTCCCACGTGACCCGCACTTAGGCGCCCCGCGTGGCCAGGGGCCACCCGTTCCCGTCCTCAGGGAGCCTACAGTCTGAGGCTCCTCCGTTATGGAGGGTGGGAGGAGGGTGGAGCGGGGCCAGCCTGGGCCCATCCCCAAAGTGGGGTCGCGGGAAGGACCCCGCAGATGGGGGGCGCGGAGTCCGGGGAGCATGGCTTAGAGCCAGGCTGGGATTCCTGAGCCCTGCGCCTTCCACTGCAGCAGGGACAAGACAGAGCTCCCTGGGCCTCCCCCTCCCAAACCTGGCCCCGGACCTCCCGTTCTCGGATGCGCCGCAGCTGTAAAGCGCTTTGCAAACCTTAGCGTGCCGGTTAAGTGTTAGCCGCTGCGGCGCTTTCCGGCCCTCTCACTCACCCCTCTGCCTCTCTGATCGGATCGCAAAGCCTCACCAGCCCTGCCTCTGTGGCCTCTGTGACCTCTGCGACCTCTGCGTGGCCTCCCCCCGGTTAGCCCCTCATCCCCTCTCACCTGGACTATTGCAGGAGGCTCCTAAATGCGTGCTCTTCTGTGGCCCTTCCTAATCTGACTTGGGCCTCCTCCCTCGAAATGGCCTTGAATCTATTTTGTGTTGACTTCTAAGGGTTTGTGCTCTTTCCACTGGCAGGACGTGTGTCTTTGGGAGTCAGAGACTTTGATCTTTGCTTTTGTGTCACCAGAGACCCAGGAAAGTACTGGACACTGGTGAGCACTTAATAAGTGCCTGTTGAGTGAGCGATTGATCTGTGCTGCAGACGCTGAAGTTCAGTTCACCATGGATCTGTTAAACACTTACTCTGGGTCAGGTGATACAAAGGCAAGAGTGAAACAAACCCTGCCCTCAAGTACCTTACGTTCAGTTCTGCTGAACTTGGAAGGTGGAGTGTGGAGCTAGTAAGGACCCTAGAGAATTTGGGTGCTTGCCCTCAAAGGGATGCTAGGTTACAGAATGTTAGAACAGGGAACAGGGAATGTGGGAGGGGTGGGAAGGGACCTCAGAGATTTATCTAGTCCAGTGATCTCCTTTAGCAGGTGACGGTCTCAATGGTTCCATGTCTCATAGCAAGTCCATGATGTGCTAAGGCAACTGGGTGGCATAGTGGATAGAGCTCCAGTCATGCAGTCAGGGAGATCTGAGTTTAAATCTGACAGATACATACCAGCTCTGTGACCCTGGCCAAGCCCCTTAACCCTGCTTGCTCGGTTTCCTCACCTGTAAAAATGAGCTGGAGAAGGAAATGGCAAACCACTCCAGTTTCTCTGCCAAGAAAACTCCAAATGGGGTTATGGAGAGTCAGCGCGATTGAAACACCTGAACAACAACAGCTGTAATGCTGGAACTCGAGTCAAAGTCTTAAGAATCTGAGACCTCATGACATCCACTCCAGCTCCTACCCTCAGGTCCCATGTCAGGTCCAGTTTGAGGAAAGGCTGGCCTGGCCCCAGCCCTGGTAGCACACAAAGCTGACTCAGCTAACGGGATTTCGGTGCCAGACGTTCTGGTCTTAGAGCCAGAAAGAAGATTTACAGCTGGAAGGTGTAGGCTGACGCACCCTCAGCCCCCCCCCCTTATAGAAGTTTGCCTGAAGTCACACAATGGATGACCCAGAACTAACATTCAGACTGACCTTTTCATTTTACAGATGAAAAAAAAATGGGCGCCATTTGGATTAAGCGATTTGCCCAGGGCCACACACAGCTCTGCTTGTTAGGAAGCCTTTGGTGACATCCAGCCTCAGTGGGCCCCTTTGCCACTTCTCTCCTAGCTCTTGGTTCTGCCCCTGGGGCAGACAGAACAGTCTAATTCCGCTTTCAGATGGCCCGCCTTCAAATGCTTACAAACTGCTCTCGTGTCCCCATGGAGCCGCCTCTTCTCTGGGCTAACGACCCCTCCTTCCTCCATCCTTTCCTCTTGCGTGGCATGGACTCAAGGATCTTTGCCCTGCTCTGGACGACTTGAACTTCTCCGTGTCCTCCATAAGCTGTCCCATCAGAACTGAACGCTGTCTGCCAGGGCCACGTACAGGGGACTCTGTGGGCTTCAGATCCCAGCAGCTTTTTTGGCTGGCACATCGCCCTTGTGGCGTTTCTGGTGTTCATCACGCTTAAACGTGACTGTTGGCAATGGGCCTGTTTTCTTGATGCCTTAAAAAGATTCAGATTGTCAGCAGCAGCCCTTGCTGCGCGCTCTTCTTCTGATACCATCGTATGAAGCAGACTGGGACAGCAGGGGGGCACTTGAGCCCTCCTGGCCTTGAGTCCGGCTCCAGCACTTACTCACTGTGGTGGTTCACACGGTTTTTTTACAGGCCAGCCTCAGTTTCCTCTCTGTGAAATGGGGATGGGTGAACTTGTAGCAGCCACCTCTCATGGTTGTCTTTGTGAGAGGAGCCCTATGCCTGTGTGAGTAGAGTTCCCTTTGGGAGGCCCCAGTTGCATGGAAGGCCGGCTTTTGGCTGTGGAGGCTGGTCCGAAGGCCACAAGATCAGTTGCTGCATCACAGGCAGTGAGAGGAAGCCGTCAGGCGTGATGCAGTGCGGGAGAGTCCCCAGCAGGCTCACTTTTGTAAGCATCTTTGCCCCGTTTTCTTGTCTGTTACAGAAGCCATGAACATACAGCATCTGGTTTACAGCAAGATCACTACCTTGATTCCACCTGGAGAGCTGATAATGGCCTCACTGTAAGTGCTTTATGAGAAGACTGTCATTTTGCTTTGTACAGTGTGCGTATGAGAGATGCTTCGTGTCTTGGAATACCACATTTTCCTGCTTCTGTCCTTGTTCTCGGCCATTGCAGGTAACACCCTGGGAGATTTTCCTTGGTTTAAACAATATAAGAAACTTTAATTCTTTTGTTCTTGAAGAAGGTCCTAGTGGGATGTTTCACGTAGACATAACACATTTTTATCTGATATGTCATAGAAGATATTCTCAAAAATCAATTAGTGTAAAAAAATTACCTTTCTCTTTTAATAGCCTTGGACTCTGGATAATACCATCAGTGCTGAGAACAGGGCTGTCATCGAGAAAATGTTACTGGAAGAAGAGTATCCTTTAATGCTTATGAGGAAAAAACCCTTCAAATTAGATTTTAAAAGCTACAAATACAAAAATTTGGACCAGCAGTCACCAATGGTCATTCTGTAGGCTTTTTCACTTGAGAGAAAGTTGCCAAGGTCTTTGATTCTCTGAATGTCATTAGAGCGTTCCATAGTATCCACTTTTAACAAAAAGCAACCTTCACCCCAAAAGACCAGCATCATTTTAAAGTCCGTGGCAGCTCTCAGAAACCATGGCGCCTTTTCAGTATTTTAAGCACTCTCTGCCTGATATTGTTCATTAATGCTGTGGAAAAAATTTAAAAAGCATGGTTACAGTCAGGACAGGTAGGTCCATGGGATGATGTTCACAATAAGGGATTGTCCGAATACTTTTGCAGTGAAATTTCCTGACTCGACAATTGTAATGTATTCATGATGTTAGAGGGAAATAACACGAATGGAGGCTGCCTCGTGTGGAGTGTGCTTGAATCGATGCCTGTATCAGTGCTTATGGGCCGCACCGTCTCTAGCTTAACCAAGCACTTGGGCACAGTTAGCATTTATGCCAAGCCTCTTGCTTCCTACTCGCTCACATGAACACATCTTTTCAGGTTTGATTTTCGACCATTCCTCCCCTAGTTAATCTTCAAGGACCCAAGTAAAACACCAAAATGTTGCAGAGTGAAGGCATCAGGTCTTTTTATTTCAGAAGAGAACAGAGAAACTTCTGACAATTAAGTGATGTAGTAAGAGCTGGTGTGGTTCAGTGGGAAGAGGGCTAGATTGGAAGCGAGGAGACTTTGGCTCGACTACGATCTCTGCTGCTGACTAGCTGTGTGTGGCCTTGTTCAAATCCAATAATCACTTTGGGTCTTTGGGGCTTCATCTTTGAAATGACAGTGTTGGACTCCCTCCACTGCGGTCCATTTCAGCTGTAGCATTCTGAAGTCTAAATATTCATAGTTGTTGCTGTGATGACATCAGAGCATCTCTGTTAGCCACCCACCACCCCATCCTTAGTTGTGATTTTTGTTTTTCCCTGTCTGAGTCTAGGAATTAGCAGTCATCATTTTGCCTAAGAAAGACTAGGACATTTTCATTGGGTTCTCTTACTCCCTGTCCCCCACGCTGTCTTAGGGGCCATCTGAAGAATCACTGGGCCCTTGAGTTTGAGGAGACAGAATAAGGGTATGGAATCCATAACCTCTCTGCTTGCTAGAGAGCAGAGATTCTTAACCTGGGGTCCGAATACCACAGATTTCAGGTCTCTGAACTTGAATGGGGGGAAAAAATGACATCTTTGATTTCACAAATTTGGTTTCCTTTGTAATTCTTTATGGTTTTTTGTATTCTTTTAAAAATGTTATTCTGAGAAGAGATCCTAGGCCTTGCCAGAATTTCAGAGGTATCGATATCATACAAATACAGGTTAATACCCTTGCTGTGGAGGGAGAAGGTTTATATGTCTTAATTTGTTGTGAGGGAAGTATGTTGTAGCCCTCAAGCTGGACTGTCTCACCCACAAAGCATGCCTTGTATCCTCCATGCCTTATAAAACAGGAATGAAGAGCCAGGAGAGGCGAGGACAGTACAGCTGGTTGGTTCTCTTCTCATTCCTTCCCAGGCATTCAAGTGTAAGCCAGGTCAGGCCTTACTAGGACTTGATATCTTTTCATGCCATGAAAAATTTAGGTATCAGTTCATTTGAGGTAGGAGTGGGCTCTATAATACACTAGATCATTAGTGTATGATTTTAGAAAAAAATAGTTTAACTCATATTTTCATTTATGTTAAATACATGCAATTCATTGCATTTTAAACTTAATCTATGGTGATGTTTATTTAACAGATAATAGTATCCACTATGTATATGAAAGACACGTCATTTTTTACTTGTTTTCAGAAAGTTTCCTTAGTACTTCACAGATATTATATGTCCAATAAATCACTTCCAGACAATTTCTGGCTTGATCATAAGGAAAGTAATAAAAAGTGCATGAAAAGGTAAAAAAAAAATCAATTGGGCAATACCTTGGAGGAATGTAGTGAATTTGAAAAAGTTAAATACTTTACAGAAACCATAATTTTCTTCTTTCTATCTTTTACAGTCCACAAAAATCAGGAAAACTCAGGTATGTACAT